AATCTCTATATTCTGTATGTTTTTTGATGCCATTAGTACTTTGTAAGATTTTTTGTAATAATGCCAGTTCACTATTGATAGTGGCAACAAAGTTTATCAATTATGAAATCACAATTTCAGTTGTCATGTGTAATCCAGTAAAGAAAAAGTCACTGCTTTAAAGGCATTTTTTTTATTCTCATTGCAATTAATTGAAAACTAGGTCAACAGCCACTCCAGACAGACAGTGATATCAAATGTGGGGAAATGTTACACAGAAATAATTAAGCACTTGCTATATTAAATCATGATAACACCCTTTCAACATTAAGCACTGACATATAAATTTGAGAGCAGGTTCTTTTGCTTCATGTTATATGCAGTTTCAGGACTGCAACACAATGACTTTTCTTGTGTGCCTCAGTAATTGCTATGTGATAAACATCCGCAAGATAAACACGCACACATTCCACATGATAATGAGTGGACTTCTATATAGAAACTAGCAATTACATTTTCCTCTTTCTATTTTTTTGTGTTACCTTAATTGGTAGTTAATTTATGCACCTGATTTTTCAGGTGCTTGTACAGAGTCATTAAAAATGACCTCCAAGAAAAGCAGGAATACTGAAAAATGAGGTAGGCTGGCTGTTACTAAGTATAGCCCTTTTCTATGTCAGGAAATGTTCTTGTAAATAGAGTAATTATACATGATGGAAACTTTCATAAATTCAAGAGTATTAAAATGTTAGTAAGAGACCTCTCACCATTCCTCTTCCAAATCCCTGTTTACCGCTTTGTTACTAAATTCTATATTAATCTGAACTATTAAACATTTGTATTGTTTTGTTATGTAAAATCTGCCCTGTTTCTCTCAGAATATGAAGAAATTGGTTATTATGCTCCAGTTTGAAGAATGAAGCAAGGAAATGAAAAAATAATTTTGTTTCAGTCAATGCCAATTGAGTAAACTAAAAATTTAGTCAACATAAAATTGTGATGCTGCATAAAAGTAATCACAGGATGTGTACAATGACATCGTCTCTAACACAAATGTCCTTAAAGCTGGCAAGGTGTGAAACACTGGCTGCCTCCTTCTATTAATAAATAGCTTACCATGGGGAACAGTGCATAAATGTAGGTATTTGTTTTCTGGAATAAATTTATCAACAATTTCTGAGATTCAGAAATACCAGTGTACCACATGGTTTCTTAGGTATCCTAAGGTTTAGTATCCTGCTATATGAACTGATACAAGAATGTAAAGATGGTGGACTGATGTCAGTCTGAATGTTTGAGACAACATATGAGTAACAAGTAATAACCAGTCCATTCTGTTGGGTTTTACCTGTCTTTTTCTAAGCTTACCAAAGCTTCAAAACTCAAACAGAAATGCTGAACATTTTGATTGGGGGACACATTTTCCTCAGAACTTGTATGGTACCTAATACAATGGACTATAATCAAGGCTTTATCGAAAACTAAATATTAAATAGCAATAGAAACTCAAATAATACCAACATCTCTCTAGAGCACAGCACATTGATTGCCTTATACCTTTCACAGAGGAATTTTAAAAGCAAAATAAAATGTGGATTGATTATACTTCAAATATGGAATGGCATTAGGTATTGTACAAGTGTGGCAAAATTTTCTCAAAAGGAAAATGCACACTAATAACTAAAGCCCACTCTGTTCTGCTTCCTTTCTCATTATAGCTGATGTTTCATTTTAACATGTACATTTGAAACTCACTTTGTGTTTTAATGGAATGCTCTGGGCCAAATAGATCTCTGGTGTAACATTGCTTGTGCATGTCAGACAACTGCTGCAATTTTTAATGGCATGAGTTTGGGGTGACTGCATTATTCATGTGGGGTATATTGATAAAAAGGTCATACAGGTCAATGCTTGAATTTAAAATACTTCTACAGGTCAGAAATGTATTCTTTATATACATTTAAAATATGTGCTGATAGATTTTGATTTTTTAATTGATGAGTACGGATATCATTTATTTTACTCTCTGTCTATGAGGTCAAATTTCATTAGCTATTATTTGCAAGCTCTGAATGAAATGAAGACTACAATAAAGCTTTAAATTAGCAAGTACCAAAACAAAATTCCAATGTTGCAGCAGATTCTCATTCTCTTAAAAGATTAATGGAGAAGACTTGTAGAACAATTTCTGTATCCCGTGGCTATTCATTTAGCATACTCATTATGCTGGACATCATGTTCTGTTTGAGCATTTGCAAGAACTTGCTCTATTTTTTAGCAATAAAGCTCCTGAATTTTCTTCATTATGAAAATAATGTTAGGTTCTACAGGGCTGTCTATAAGAAATACTTGAAAGAGTTCATTATATTTCTACATCATTATAACAATATCCTGGAGTTACATTTTATGTGCTGTGATGACTCTATGCCCTTTCTTCTTGCAGTTCCTGCAACAGGAGATGCAGCCAAAGAAAAATTACATCCTCTCTATATTGCTTATACATTATTCCTGTTCCCCCTGGAGCTGTGGTTTCAGATGTGAACTGGAGGAACCCAGGTCTTGTAATTTACATTACGAACTAGACCATCCGCAGGCAGCACCAGCATTTAGTATGCAGAAATATGAAGTAGAAAACCATCCCAGAGTTTCACAAACTATCATCTGACAGGAATAAATGCTTACTTTGAGTGGAGGGTCATAGACAATTTCATTTCATATGGCAACATCATGGCCTTGCCTTAACCAAGGACTGAGTGACTCATGACAATGAGCTGTGACCCTACAAACAAAGCCTAAGCACAGTGAGCCACACCTGAGACACGAAGAGGATCTGAGCCTTGGTGTGGACCATGGAGCAAAACTGACAGGGAATGGTACCTGAAACCACTGGAAGGGAGTGCTGTGATCTGATTGCATCAATAATTGGTGATAAAGACGCTTGGTACTAGAGGCTGGGGTTGGACAGAATGCTGTGTGGACATCCTACAAGTGTAGAAGCAGAGTGCCTGAGGTGGAACTGCTTATGAATTGGTGCTGAGCCTCTGCCAAGGGCTTGGCACAGAGACTTGGTCAGAGGCAGCGCCACAGTCCCCTGGACTTCACTGTTCCAACTCACTGGGCTGGTAATTAGGGTTGGTTAGTACTGCATATGTGTGCGAAATTTTTCTGACACAGCTTATTTGTTGCTCTACTTACATTCAACTTAGCAAAGTCATAATGTTTAGTGTGACATCATTCCATTCCTTTCTGCAATATTTGAGGATAGAGCAGACAATTCAGGTTTTTATCACTTTTCAGAAGCCATTGACAAACCCTTGCCTTCAATCTCTCCAATTGTGTTTATGAAAAACTCTATAACCTACTGAACTGGAGAAACCTGAACCATTTCCACATATTGGAGCATCCTGTGCTCCCAATATCAGTCAGAAATTAAGTTTTAACAGATTCTAGTGACAGATACAAGGTCAGGGTTTAGAGAACTGGAGAAACTAGTGGTAAAAGTGTATTACCAAAAAGCAAACGTCACTTAGATACTACTTTGAAAATTCTCCTTGTTCTGAGCGTATCCAAAAGTAGCTAATCAAAATTCTTTATAATGAGAATAAAAGCCCTGCTGATCTTGTTTTTCAAGAAATTATCCTGTGTTAATTATTGAAAAGATGACTCACTACTTTCACAATTTCCTGTAAACACACACATTTTTCATGAGATCCTGTGGGAGAGGATTATCTTAGAAGCATAAAGCCATAAACTTATAATTACCTCTGCACTTTGGAAATGTCTGACACATGTGGGCCAAACATCCTTTTTTTAACTGAAGATTTACATTCTAACTATAAAGATCAGCTCATTTTTTATTTCATAGCATTGTGTTTAACCATAACTTCTTTAGCCGGGCTTCATGTCATCCGATTATTCTGTGTTTGCAAACAGAATAGGGTATACAGAAAGCAATTTGTTAATCAAATGTCTTCTCACTCTTTTGTTCTTTCCTTAAGTAATCCCTACATGTTCTTGGTATTAATCACAAAAAACTTAGGAGTTGTCCTTGTTAAAAATTCAACTCAAGAATTCAGTATGACCTTTTACATCTAGACCCTGATTTAAGAGCCAGCACAGCTAAAATCATAAGATAGTATGCTGCTGTAGCACATTAAAAGGTCAAATTTAAATGAGTTCAGGTTGACATAGTGTTCTTTGTCTTAGGGAGGAATCAATTATGAACTTCAGTTAAATATATAACTCTCACAACTTTTTCTTAAATGGCAAGTATTTATAAATTTAGGCCATAATTATGCAAGTATTAAGAAATACTTAACATCCAAGTCCTAATCAGTCACATCAGAATCAAGAGGTATTTAATATTTGCAAAATTAAGTATATGTGTTGGTGTTGGGGGACTGATGTCTTCTACAGTAAAGATCTGATATGTGTGCAACAGTTTGTTCCAGGCTACCTACTTCAAAGGGAGGTTCTTGTCCTCAGCAGAGAGTAACATTTACCTTACATTGGTTACTTTTGGTAGTTTCAACAGCTAACACTGAAGGAATTAAGCAGTTTTAACAGCTAAGACTGAATAGGATTAGTAATTTCAATCACTTTATCATGGATAAGGGCTGACTCTGAATGTTGAGTTCAAAAACTCTTTCCTTCTCCATTTCTTTGTATGAGGTGTCTGGGTCAGCTGTAAGGAGTCCCAAGAGCAGGCACCTGGTGAAGACTTCTTAATAAATTCCTACCCCTATTACAAAAGAATACATCTTTTGTGCTTTGAGGTCTTGCAATGAGATCCATTTTGCACATAGAAAGTCACAGCAAGGTCAGCATGTCTCTCTAAAAGCTTCTCTTCATGAAGAAATGAGTCCCACATGCTTAAAGTCCCAAATTAAAAAATCTGTCTCACTTGTCCTCAAACCACTCTGTGTTCATATACCTATGTATGCACATGTGAATGTATATATGAACCTATACATACACACACTGAGACAAAATGTAAATAATATTGGCAGGGGCTCTAACCATTGTTTCCACTTGTTTATTCTGAACAGCTACATTATGCTCTAGTGGGCTGTTTTTCAGTGCTGGACTTCTGCCATTGACTTCAAAGGAATCAGATTCAGGCCACTGGAAAAAAAAAATAAAAAAAAAATTAAATTTTGAAACCAATAAGATTTAAAAAGCCTGGCTTTGAAAGTCATGATATGAAGCTCAGAGTTTACTCTCCCCTATGTAGAAATAACCTGTAGGGGGGAGAATGGGACCTTTAGATAATTAACTATTCAGTAAGTCCTAAGCAGCTCAATAGTGCTTTTTATCTTCAAAGTGCTTTTTAAACATTAACTAAATAATCCTCTTAATCCTCTGAAGTAAATAATTTGGTATTTATTATCCTGGTGAAGAATTGCTATAAATTAAAAGGAAATGCTGAAAATAGTACTTTTCATGTACATTTTTTAAAATAAAAAATAAAGGCAAAAAAAAAGGGCAGAATCTCAGGCTCCACATCAGCATCCCCGTGGTACTTGCTCCATTTCAAGAGTTACTTTACTGCTCCAAAGTAAATATAAAATCTGTATGACTGCTCATTGTCAGAGATGGAAAACCTGCTGCAGAAAGTAGCTGCCTCTGAACTCTACTACTCTCCCAGAAGTTGTACTCCTAAGGAAACAAAATAGCACATGCTTCAAATAGCCTTCACTGTCATGAATTGCCCTGATTTATGGAAGAATGATTTGACTACAAATTCTCATAGTGGAAGAAATTTTCTATAGATAAATGTAAAGTAATGTGCCTGGGAAAAAAACCCCAAGAGATAGCTAGAAGAATAATATTACCAAAAAGGAGTAAGAACCCATAGTTGTGACACACAATTCTATAAAAATATCAACTTGACAGCCAATAACTAAGGAAGTAAAGCAAATGCTAAGAACTTTTAGTAAGTGTTTAATGGGATTTCCTTTTGAGCATATATTTCACTGCATAATTTCACCCTTGCTGTACATTTACAATTACATATGCAAATGACTGAAGAATAAACATTTTAGACAGGATTTCAGGTTTTGGTGTTATATCTTAGCAATGAAATTCCTCTCATTGTTTTCCAAGCAAATGGTGTTTCTCTAAGGACTGGATTATCATGTGTGCCTCAGCCTCTCAGATTTACAGTTGTATCAAAATGACTGAGAAAGAAGATAAGCTTAGCTTGCATAACCCAACAAGTCTGTTAATATAGGTGAACTTTGAATATTTCAAACTTGTAAATTTTTTTTCTGTCTCTGTGGCCACTGTATATGTAAGGGTTTTCAGGGTCTACATACTAATACTACCCATTTGCCACCCCCCATGGTAGACATTTTAGCAAAAATGAAAAACACCATCCAAAATCCTGCCAAGTGAAAGTAGTTTCAGTATTAGAGGCAGGAAAATTATGTTTTCCTCCCCACTGGAGTTCAAGGGTTGGCCATTGTAACTGATAACAAGTGACTAATGAACTGTTAGCCATTAAGAGGAAACCACAATGGGGCCAGCTCACATCTAAAGTTTATCTAAAGTTTACTTTCTACTTGACAGTCAGATTATAAGCTAAATTTTCCCTCAAATCCAAATATTCAAAACAAAGGACCAGAATAAATAATTTCTTAGAAATGTTGTTTCTCTCAGTCTGCTGGTGCAGACTACCCCAGAGCCAAGGTACCATGATGTTAAAGTTTTACCATTTGAAAGCCTTAGCTACTAAATTTTTCATTCCTAAAACACATTTAGAAATGTTTGTCAATTGATAGAAGTGTTAGAAGTACATATAACCTAAAACCTAAGAGAACCAAGGCTTTGAAATTATTCAGCTGAAGAGAATAGGTAGAATTAAATCTGCTACAATTTTAAATAATTGAGTTTTTCAGTAAGAAAAAATCAGTAAAAAAATCATCAAAAATTTCTCATGTCATATACAATAATTAGATACTGAGAGAGAGATGTACCTGTTTAACTGTTGGAGACAGGAAATAATTTAAACATACTTGGGTTTGGGATATGCATGTCTGTTCATACCTTCTACACAAACTTCAAAGATGAATCCAATTAACAGAAGAGCCTTTTTTAAAAGCCATCAGGAAAAGTAAGAGAATTACACAAAAACCAAAAAGAAATATTAATTTATAGATAGTAGATATGCTTCATGCCAAGAAGTAAGTCATGCTGAACATTTAAAAAAAAAAATCCCTTTTGAACAACTGTTTCACTCTCTAATGAAACTTCTGACACTGCCCGCTATTAAAGTTATGGTACTAAATTAAAAGGACTCACTAGTCCAGTCACTCTTACAAAATTCAACTAATCATAACTAGAAGTCCCACTGTACTTCATAAAGTTCAGATCCTGACCAGAACAGTGGCAAGAAGTCTCCTTTTTTATGCAACTATCATAAAAAGGAAAAGGGTGCATAATTACTTATGCTGTAGCACTGAGACTGGAGGCTTAGCTCTAACAAAACCAACAGTAATACTTAAAAAGGACTTCCTTAACAATGGGACATCTGATTCACCATGTAACTTATCTACAAAAGACACTTTGGTATAATCTTCCATGAGTAGAGTTATAAAATATTCATGGGGTGCCTCTACATCCAGTGTGTAACCAGGATACTGTTTCTGGAGATGCCGTTACAGAAATATGATATTCAAAATGTGAACATCTGGTAATCAAATGCATGGCAGTGTAGTACTTACATGAGAAACATGATTTATTCCCAAGAAAGAATATTAATTCTAAACACAGGGCTTCCAGACTTTCTGGAAGACAAAAACATGAAAGAGACTGGGGGAAAGTAGAGCTATGTGTATCAGGAGAAAAATCAGATCTGAAAAATTGCTATAGTGAGCCTCGGAGAAATATAATGAATCAATCTGGGATTAAGCTACTAGACAGGAAAAAGAATAAGGACAGAAGCACAAGGGATGTCGTAGAGACCTCCAGGGCAAGAAGAGAGGTAAGAATAAAATTCTGCTTAAAGATGAGGCAAGAAAAAGAAGGTAAAAACCCCCTAAGACTGTGAATTTGCAATTTCAACCCTCTAATTACCAAAAATCTCAGAGACACAAAGGAGGAGAAATATGAGAATGAAGATGTAGTAAATGATTAGGTCTGAATTAATTAGAGACACAAAAACATGTTGAGAGCAAAGACCCTATTGCCGAGCATATTTGTTTGGCATTAGATAGTGATGAGCATGGCATTAATACTTTCAGAAAACTGAAATATTCTTGAAAAATAAATTCAATGTGAGAAGTTGATAGCTGTCTGTGTTTCAGTACAGTAATACATGGAATAAAAATCTTCAAAGGAACACCATTTCTACAATCTACTTACACAGACCAGTTGAAAAAATAGGAAAAAAATGTGCTGAGTAATGGACACGAAAGACAGATTCTTCATCTCTGTAAAATGGTTCAGCTCCATTAACTTTTTCATATAGCTCAAGACAGGAAGGATCCATTAGATCATCCATTCTGACCCTGTATGTCATAGGTCATTAGATTTCATTTTCAGTTCTACTCAGCTTAGTAGTTTATGTTAAACACCTTACAGAAAAACATCCACTCTTGATCTGAAGGCAGAGAGATGGAGAGTCACATTGCCCTTGGCTTTTTGCTCTGAAGCTTAAATAACTATTGCTGCAGCAAAATTGTGCCTTATTTCTCATTAGAATTCGTTCAGTTTCAGCTTCCAGACAGGAGTTTTTATTTTTTTATTGCTAGCTTAAATAGTCTTTTAACACCTAGCAATTTTTTTTAAATTTTTTTTTTTTATTTCTACATCATAATTAAGTCACTTCATCTTTGGGAAGCTATACAGAATAAGTTCATTTTAGTCATGCCTCTCCAAAAGTCAACTTTCTCCAGCTTTAATAAATTTTTCCCTTTTTTTAACCCTTCTGTTTTTAGCAATCCACACCCCCAGTTATTGCACTGGTCAAAGTAAAGCTGGCCTCTCTACCTACATTCACTCACACTTTGGTATTAATAAAACACTGTAGGAGTAGGAGATTACACAAAGTCAATTCAGCTCTCTACAATGAACCTATGATTTTATTATCTTTACTTGCAAATTCTACAGCAAATAGGATGAAAAACTCTTCTAAATTCATTGCCAGCTTCTCCTCTGGCTCCACCATTTCCTCTGTATTTGATAGAGGGTTGTCTGAAAATGATGGGAAACAGGATCTCTGTGCTGTTTGATAATGCATTTACAAAAATTACGAACAATTTGTTTTCTCCTCCTTCTTGTCTGTCCTTGCTTGTGTTAGTAGTAATAGTTTCAAGAGAAAGGGTAAAAAAGCACAACACAACCCTTTCCTTACCTTCACATGCCTGCTTATTACTTCGAAACCACTGTCAATACCAGCTGTCAATGATGTGATGCTAATGATGCTTCAGCACTTAATATAAAATATTACAGTCCATCAATGAAAATTGGTGTTCCATAAAGAGAACTTGTAGAGCAGACTGACTCTGTATATGATATTTATTTCTACTGATAATTTTTCCTAACAGAACTTCCAGTTCTGTTTTGCTCAATCACTTGTGAGTTATGTGGTCATTTGTAACTCATAAAAATAAATTATACAGGGTTAGTTATCTTTTTTGTAAAATGTTGTGTTCATATCTTTAACTTGTATCATTTGGTTTTTTTCTAAGAAGAGGTTATACATTTATTTAGGATATATTGTTCTTGTAAAGCATATTAAGGTAGCAATAAGGTTACTCCACTCATAAGTATTTCTACAACTAAACATCACTGTAAATAAATATTACACTCATTTTTTTTTCAACGGTAAACTCCAAAAACATGTGCATCAAGGAATCTTTCACTGAGCTGGGAAAAAATGGCTACCTTGATCATTTTCCCAGGTGACCTCTCTTTATTGTTTGAGGCTTACATCCAGATTTTGTCATCTAGATTATTTTAATTCTTCTCAGAAAATTAATTTCTCTCCTGTGTTGAACTAAATGGTGCCTGGAAATGAATAAAGAAAAACTCAGGGCAGTCTGTGATGTTTTTCTTTCTTTTTTTGAATTCCTTGACTAACCAGAAGTATTTATTTATTTATTTACTTAGAGATCTTACTAAATCTGCCAAAAACTGATAACTTGTGATGTCATAAATTAAACAATATGATGTTTACATGCCCTGCAATGAGCCTCTGGTCCTACCCGAGCAAAAAAGACTTTTCTATTAAATCAGTTACAGCTCTGAAACCAGATGGCTCAGCTCAAAACGTTGAACATGTTTGTCCTTTCTGATCTTGGGTTAGTTTTTGTAATCTCATGATTCAATTCAAGCAACCTTTGGGTGACCACAATTTCACAATGCCAATACAACACTGATAAGACCAGTGAGAGTAAGAAGGATGTGTAAGCACTGGGCCAATCAATTTGGTGTCACTTAATTTTTTCCCATTGCAGGATCCCTGTCCCCTGGCCAGCCCACAATTCACAAGGGATGCAGAGCAATGCAGGTATTGGCAAAATAACCTGTCAGAGTCTTAAAGTCCTTTTAGTGATAATGATTGAATTCCAAACCCCCATAACACCATCTATAAAACCCTATATAGTTGATCTAAACAGAGTGATAGTGAAAGGAAAATAGGATGCTGCTGAGGTAACTTCTGCTCAAATCAGATTATACAAATACAATTCCTTTAGGAATATTCTCTGTAAATCTCTCCAGTGAAGATGAGAGTAAGTAGTTTCATCCCCTTCATGAAAATAGAAAGTTCCCTTTTTTTGATAAGGTGATGTATTTTTCTGAGTGTTTTGACCAACTATGGAACAAAACATCCAGAACAAGGATAAAGACTAAAATTGTAGTAAAAAATATAAAATTAATTAATCTATTCCTAAATTAGAGAATAAATTTAAAATATTTTACAAAAATCAATATTTTAAAATACTGAGAATAAGAGTAGTTTTATTACCAGAATTGATATTGCATGAATTTATAAATGTTATCATTTTAAAGTGGTGACAATTATTTTTTAAAATTTTTTACAAACATGAAGTATTGCTTAAAGACTATCATTAATAATGGCACAGAGCAACATTATTCACTTGTAAAGATCTCACTTCAATCTCTTGTCCTTGATCACACAGCAGATCTTTGAAGTGTACATAGACACCGTTGATTACTTTACGCTGGAAGAAAAATGTATTTTCCAAAACAGCAAACCACTATCCCCTGGCACTCTGCACTAAGCCATTTAAGACTTGCAAGATGGAAATTATGAGTTCTGGTTAATTCTTTCTCCACGTAACTTTCTTGATCAACATTGTCTAGAGCACTTAATGAATTGTCTAATCAACTCTGAAGGCGAAGTACTAGGAGCAAGAAGTTACTGAATTAGAAAATTTTCATTTTCATACCTCCAGCATTCTTCCCAGTGAGCCCAGAGGAGGCCAGAGAGATGATCAAAGGGCTAGAGCTCCATCCTGTGAAAACAGCCTGGGAGAGCTGGGTCTGTTCAGCCTGGGAAAGAGAAGGCTGCAGGGAGACCTTGGAGCTCCTTCCAGTTCCTTAAGATGACCTACAAAAGAGCTAGAGAAGAACTGTGTTATTTAGTCATAGGGCAAGGGAAAGTAGCTTTAAACTCAGAGAGGGAGATTTAAGTTATATCTAAGGAAGAAATCTTTTACTGTGAGGATGGTGAGGCACTGGAACAGGTCGCCCAGAGAAGCTGTGGGTTCCCCACCTCTGGAAGTGTTCCAGGCCAGGTTGGGGCTTTGAGCAACCTGGTCTAGTGGAGGCTGTCCCTGCCCATGGCACTGGAACTATTTGATCTTTAAGATCCCTTCCAAGCTAAAATTTCTATGATTTTTCTTGACAGAGGGATGGAGAATCACAAGCTACTCATCTTTCAACAAAGTGTTTGTGTTGTGGCTCTGGATATAGAGGCTTTCTTTCATGGGGCGAAAGTCTATCCATGCCATGTGTTTTTAAAGCAAATTTTCATCACACTCTCTAACCTCTTTGGAAACAGAAAAGAAAATTGTTCTTACAGGAATAACTGGAGGATGTTTCTGTCAGAGTACTGGACTTACCATTACCTGTTTACTTGTTCAGCACGTGAGGAACATCGCTGGGTGAACTTGGTCTGAGGAGTACAAAACAGATTATACTACAATTCAGCAATTCACAACCATGAAAACTGTCTTCTAAACTATTCTGAGTTCTGTGAGCTGTTTCAAACCCTGCATAAACTGTAGGCAAGTTGACTTTCAAAATTCATTCTTTGCCCCTTTTATTATTCTTTGCCTTCCAGTTTGAACCATGAAGATTCTGAGAAGATACAATCTATGTTTCATGCATGTTTTGAAGCTGTTTCATCATACAGAACATAAAATCTCATGTTAATCAGAAGAAAAGCACAAGCTTTTTATTATAAAATTAGAAAACACTATTTTTACTCCTAAAAATTTAGGTCAGGTGTCACCTACATTTTTCCAGGTAATTAGCAATGAGAAATAGTGTTGAAAAAATAAGTAGGTAGGAGGTATTTCAGAGCATGCCTCTAAGGGATAGCAATAATTTAATAAGGGATAACTAGCATAGTACAGCACAGGGAAAATTCTACCCAACTAGCTTTGTGGATATTATAGTGGAACTTACAATTTTTAACAGCAGATGACATTACTGATTTATATTTTTAGAAAGCCTTTGATGAAGTTCTTAATGACAAACTTCTACTAACTATAGAGTTCTACAGTCAGATAGTGAGAATCAGTTAATATCTAATTAAAACAAATTTTAAAACCTAGCTCAGTGATCTAGCTCACTGGACACAGTTCTTGTTCCATTGAAGTCAATCTTCAAGGCTTTTTTTTAAATTATTATTTATTTATTTTTATTTTAAAGAACATAGATTAACAAAGGAAGGGCATTTCTGTCACCTAAATTTAGTCATCTTGAAATAGGTTGACTGAGTTGGCCTATGATTTCTCTTTGGGTATTTAAGAGGGAAGCACTGAACCTTCTGGCAGCTCCTCTCTTGTTCTAGTAGTTACCAAGGGAATTGTGGAGCCTAACAGAGTGACAAATAACTTTTGCATGTCTAAATTAAATCTGCTAATGAGTCCAGGTTTGAAAGCCCTTTAGCAGTCACTGAGTACAATGAGTATCAATAATAATTATTCCTTCTGATTTTGGATTTAACTTACCTGTAAATCTGTCCTCAAAGTGGAAGATAGAGATAATATAATCATACAAAATTATTGGTGTACTGGAAAATACAATTTAATTTGTGTTATTTAGGTCACCAAATAGTATATTCTCCATCTATTGTAGGAGAACATATCTCACTAGTATTGGGGTATATCTGAATATAAAGGAAACAAGTGCACCAACTCTTTTGTCGCACAAACAACTAAATTTACTTTTTAAAACAGATGCTCCTAGGAAGAAAATGTGCTGTTTGTAAATGAGAGGAAATTGATTACAAAAAAAAGCTGAAGTCTGTGGCTTATTTATTTCAAATTTTTGAAAATTCAGAATTACCCAGAATCTGTAGGGAAATACCAGCAAAGGAAATGTCCAGATGTATGAACCAATCTAATGTCAGACAGTGATTTTGCAAAACTGTCAGAACATCATCATGCCAATAATTTCTAATGAAAGTAGTCCTCCCATATGCAGTCAAGTAAATAAATGATTAGAACTTTGTGAGATCTCTTTTACTACGGGGTGCAGTTCCAAAATATATTGAAAAACACCTAATAACAGGATGCTAGCAACTAGTTTCCACTTTTTCCATCCATCATTTAATATTCAGATCCAGTCTATTCAATATGTGAACACATACAGAGTTACTCTGTAATTTCAGTATAATAAAAAATATTACAAAGGCCCCCAAAAAACTCGTTTTCTATAAGATGATGAAATTGAGGTAAGAGAAACCACAGCTGCCCATTTGGAGGACATCCCACTGGTAGGCAGGTATAACAACTACTGTTACTCAGTCTTAATATTCAGATACTCAGTGATTTGGGCATTTAAAATTCCGCTGCTCCCTGCCATCATGCACTGAGCACCTTTCAACTCTCTGAAGCCAATGAGAGATGAATAATCCCTGCACCACACAAGGTGAATTCCCACTGAGCCATCAGCTGAGCTCTGATACCTTACAAACAGCAGACCTTCATGGGTTACAGGCTGTAGCTGCTCTGATTTCATCCTAAGTTTTGCCTGAGTTTAGCATAAACAGGCTGAATTTCTGAAAACATCCTTTGAGATTCTGAGCACCTGTGCTTCTTTTTAAGCATAAGCTGCACTGAAATACAAAAAAGAAATAAATACTGTCCAGTTATACCCTGAAACTATATTTTAACAAATATGCATGACTGAGTTCTAATGGAGGCACCTGCATGGAAGTCCATGTGCACACAGATTTAGATAGAGAGAGGAGAAGGTAACAGGAAAAAATGGGGGAAAACTGCGGATTTTGACTAACCTTGTTAGAGAACAAATGACATACTGTTACTTGTACCAAAATACGTCTGCAAACTAATGAGACCTGGCATATTGTTATGCAGCACCCCAGGACTGCTGGAAGTTTGCAAAATAAATTAAGACAGAGGTTCTGCCGCCAAGGAGTCTAAAGTGTAACTTTAGGTATGACACAGGGTAACAAAATGACAGGGAAGAAAATTGGGAACAAGAATGGTGAGTGTTACAGTGTCATGGTGTGAATGTCATGATTGCTGCAGATATTTTATATATAATTATTTTCTTTGTCCTCTATCTCTTTTAATGTTACCCATCCTGTTTGACACTTGGTGTGCAGACACACCTGAATGGGAGGAGTTTATTTCTCTACATCTGCAAACACGTGGAGACAGTTGTCTTCAGGCTCACGGTTTTTTGATGTACAGTTGTTTGTCCTCCCAAATTGGAGCTCTATAACAGCTGTTTCTGTAGCTGTTATTGCAATCCCATTCAGTTTATCATCTATAGAAAATCAAAAGCCATATGAAAACTACACCTGCACTTAATTAAGTGCAAAACATGTAATTGTTCTGGGAAAAATGACCAAGAAAATATTTGTAATATGGTATCTACTTCATTTGAGATACTAGAACTTTCTATTTTCCTTTTACATATTTCCCTCCTTTAAAATATCTGTTACTTTTTGCTTACAGACTTGCTCTTTCTTTGCATAAAATGATATTTTTTGCCTTTTAAACATTTTAATATTCCAAATCTGCCCTTTTTTTTGTTCAGTTGCTAAATCATGCATAAAACCATTGTGTTTAAAGTGCATTATTCAAAGATATGACAGAAGTTACAGTCAGAAATCTCTTTGTATTTATAGCCTTGTGTAGAAGGCTAAAGAGTATTCACCCTCATTCTATTTTTCTCTAGTCCAACTTTTATTTCTGTGTTTGAAATTGGTGGGATGACTGACAGATCAAATAAGCAATTACAAGCAAAAAATGGCATCAATTGTGCTTATTTTGGAGAACAATTTTCTCATTGTTGCCTAACCAGTAAAAGAAAGGGATAGATATTCTTTGAGATAGCTTAAAAACGAAAGGCAGACAAAAAAGATAGTAGATCAATAGAGAAATCAGAGACATTAACCGACAGATAATATGAGACCTTTGAGTGCTGAAAAGCTTCCAAAAATCCATTTTCAGGCTATGTATATAAAGAGATAGATAAAGTAAAAATAAAAGATTGAAAAATATAAAATTGGAGGTATTGTTAATTGTAAATGTATTTTGCAACACAAAGGGAAAGACACAGAAAATATTTCAAGCAAAATTCACAAACAAGCTTATCTAAGAAAGGGAAAAGGGAGGCAAGTGTCTAAGTGGGAATGCTTATTAATGAACTGGATGTTATGGTCATCAGGTTTCAATCAGGACCATCACAAAATCTTTGTTCTTAAGATTTAAATTGCTGATCTTGACTGATCTGCAATCCATTTGTATCCAGAACAGGACAATGACACAGTATCTTTTTCATTGCTCTGCTGTCTTCACCATTTCTTCCCTCTGGATATGTGGATTCTGGATGAGCATGGACCTGTTCTTCAAACTAAATAACAAAAAAGGAGTGTGCAGTGGAAGCAGGGACACGTGGCCTGGGAAGAGTGCTGGAATACGGTTTGTATGTGTATATAGGATTAGGAAAGGTAAGGTGAAGATAAAATGGGACTTGGAAAGCGACGTGAAGAACAAGGGATCTATAACAACCTAGGTCAGAAAAGAGCAATAGACTTAACCTGCCAGCCATTCCAGGAAAACTGCCCAGAGTGTACCACAGCTGCTTCCTGGCCCTTTTGTGCAGGCCAGGCTCCCACAGAAAGCAGAGGGAAAATAGCCAGTGTGCCCTGAACTTACCTAAACAAGCAGGTGAGCTGTGATGGGTGTCTGCATTGGCACTGAAGTGCTGCTGAAACCAGCAGTTCCAACATTAACCCACACACCTGGATGTAGCACATTTTATACACTCTCTTATGAAAGAAATA